GATGATCCTGCCCCAATGTATATTCCTATTGGGAAGAGATTTTTTCATTCGTCTTTGTTGTTTGACAAGTCCATTCCACTCAATCCACAAACAGCACTGCTGAACTTTAATCCCTTGGAGATGACCAGGAACCAATTACTTCTCTTTTCCATCAGGACTGCTGCAAAGCAGACAATAGCCAAAGCCTGGAAGACACTGGTACTTAGTGTGGTCACTACAAAAAAATAGTGTCACCCAGGCAATGATGCGTGCCAGGATAGACACAATGCTCCTTGTCAAGGTGGGATGATACACCAAAATATGGATCTTGGGTCGATAAATTTTTTGTCCCCTAATTTTGAAGCCTCCCTTATGGAGCCTTAGCTGTCCTGTTAACATCATTGGTTAATCCAACACAACAAACACTTTACTCCTGCGCTAGGAAAGGACTCAGTAGACCCAATAGGAATGTTCTGGAATCTTCTGGAATATGCACTGCTCGCTGCCCTCAACAGACAGGGGTGGTCAGAATACACTGGATACACATGGAGAAACAGAAAAAGGGTGCACCGACCTAGTGCATTATCGTTTAAAATAATTTATTAGAGAAACAAAAATAGGTATCATACTCACAATGGACATAATAACACAGGCATGTCAAACTGAACAAGATGTATGATCCCAACTGGCTAACACGTTTCGAGGACACAACCTCTTCCTCAGAGCCCTCTGAGGAAGAGGTTGTGTCCTCGAAATGCGTTAGCCAGTTGGTCATCCAGGGTACCATCATATGGACTCAGATGTTGTTTGGATCATACATCTTGTTCAGTTTGACATGCCTGTGTTATTATGCCCATTGTGAGTATGATACCTACTTTTGTTTCTCTAATAAATTATTTTAAACGATAATGCACTAGGTCGGTGCGCCCTTTTTCTGTTTCTCCATTTGTAACCTTATCGGTTGACTGTGCTATTGGAACTGTGGCCGGTTCAATCCCAGAACCATCCCTTTCCTTTTACCCCCCTCTTCTTCCCCCACTACTTCTCTACCTTCTTCTTTTGTTTATCAGTGCATTTCTGGATGATTCACTAAGTTTTGCTTGGTCCTAGTTCTCCCTCGGACCATTACTGGGGTGGGCCATGCAATCATCTGCTCTCAATCTTTTTCTACCTCTATTCCAGCTGTCAGGTTGCTAAATTACATAATTTGATGGACTATATTTGTTTATAAGTCAATTGGCCTATTGTGTTCAGTTGTTGTTGTTTTGACATGTTAATGACACTTGATAATGTACATCCCCATGTGTCTTTATTTACAATAGCTGTTACGTCACATATGATGGCTTTTGTGTTATTTGATTTAGTAAAATATTTGAATTTGAAAATGCTAGTTGCTTGGCTTATGTCCTGACATAGGTATGTCACTTTTTGAATTACTGCCCCAAAATAAGTACAGTAACATAGTCTTTACATTTCTCTTATGACAAATTTATTTTAAGAGAAAAAAAAATCTATAAAATTTAAATCCATTTTCAACCAAGGATAAAAACATAGAGATCTGCTTGGATTTGTTTGAATGTATTCAGTGAGCTTTTCTCTTCAAAGGCAGTTCATATAGACTTCAGAAAGCAGACAGATGTACAGACATGATCCAAATGCCCTCAAACCAGCAAAATTAAAAAATGCAGAAAAACGTGGCTAAACACGAATGCAGAAATGCTAAAAAATGCAGAAAAACTTGCATTTTAATGTGACTTTATACAGCTAAGGCTACCGGCATTTTTAAAACGCCCTGTGTACATGAGGACAAAGGGTTGAAAAGCACTTCATAAATGTGCAAGGTCAACAATATGGTCAAATAGGACAGATCTATGGCTAGCTATCATTCTTGGGGACAGATCTCCCTCCAAATTTATTCCAAAGCTGGCCATACACATTCATATTTTTTTTTTTGTGCAGCCTGTGTTCAGCTGGTGTGTAATAGATCCATGCTAACGGCGCTAATAGACAAATCTCTTGATTTGACTATTGTATTTTGATAGCCAGCCCTGTTGGCTTTTGAAATAGCTGAACAGTTTATCAATCCAGGAATGCTGAAAGAGCTACACACTGAGCAAAAATTCAGCTGGTTCCTCAGGAACCAAAATTTTTACAGCATATGGCTAGCTTATAGTTGAACATAAACATAGTGTTACCACTCAAAAACCTCTTTTAGATGTGCCAACAACTATAAAAAGTGAGGGCCTATTCATAGTATTAATTTTACTCATATACGATCAGGTAGGCCATTGTACTACTACTACCTAAATGTAAATAACTATAAAGGGGATTGTACAGTTAGTAACATGATTGACTTATAATACTTTTTTTTTTTTGTTATATAGTTGTACTTTAAAGTTATGATTGCAGCTACTATTGCTTTTATTCTGATGATTCTCTAAAAATGATAAAAATATCCTAATTCCTAAAACAACCATTACCTGTCTGTAACAATTTTGTGAAAAAAATAACATTCACAATCTATCACAAGAATGATTTCTTAAATGGTTACCCATAGATTGTTTACCAGTTGGGAGTCCTGATTAAATATGAACTGTACTGAGCAGTGCCTCCGCCACTTTTTATTGAGTTTATGTGTTGATCAATCTACTGGAATATACTCATTTTTGGCCTATCTAAACAGTTGGAACCACTGGCAGAATGACAGTTTTTTTTTTTTTTTCCTTGGTGTGGCCTAGAAATACAATGTTAAATTACAGTTTGGGGATGATTGTAAATTGTATGTTTCCTTTAATCACTACACCCTTCTTGAAACATACCGTACAAGTGACGTCTGAAAAAAAAATACTTTATGCTTAAACTAGTATTTACAGTAGAGTCTCTAGTTTTATTAACCAGCACCAAATAAGAGATCAGGACAACATCATAGTAACTTCATGACTCAGAACCAATAGGTGAAAAGATATTACTATGTTAGGTTGTTTTGGGGAATATAATCTTCCAAAGAGTCTACAAATTAAAGTTAAAATATTCAGGTCTATTTTACTCTGTAATACATTTGTTAATATGTACCCCATACCCATTCACAAGAGGGAGAGTGGGACCTGGGGTCCCGCTTGTTAAAGGGGACTTCCAGATTCCGATAAGTCACCCCCTGCAGACCCCCACAATCACAGCCCAGGGTTGTGGAAAGAGGCTCTTGTCCCCATCGGCATGGGGAGACCGTCCCAATGCCAAGGGCACGTGACCGGGTAAGCCACAGGGATGGGGGGGGGGCTTTCGTTTTCCCCTCCTTTCCTGGCCTGCCAGGCCTGTGCTCAGATCAAGGGTCTGATAAGAATTTAGGGGGGACCCCATGCTTTTTTCTCCCTTTGTTGGTATTGGGGTTCCCTTTAAAAGTCCCACCAGGCCTAAGGGGCCTGGTATGGCTTTTAGGGGGAATCCTATGTACTTTTCCCCCCCATTTGTGGGAGGTGAGGTTCCCCTTAAAAGTCCTGCATGGCCTAAAGGGCCTGGTATGGCTTTTAGGGGGAACCCCACGCACGTAAAAAAAAAAAAAATGACTGTGGGGTCCTTCCTAACCTCCCTACCAAATCTAAAGGGTCTGGTATGGATTGGGGGGGGGGACCCACACTATTTTTTTTTTAAATGTCAGTCCTGCTGCAGCAGGTTCTATACATTGTACAGATGTGCGACTTTGCAGGTAGTTTAAGGGGACCCCCCCCAGGCATGATATTTAAAGGAATTTTTTGTATTTTTTTTTTACTTTAGGCACTGAAAAATGACTGCACCCTAAAAAAATTTCCACCGATTCATGTCCCACAGGGCAGTACCTGAGTCTCCATACCCCTTTTATGGCCAATAACTTGCATATAAGCCTTCAAAATGGGCATTTTTGAATTTACAAGTTCGAGTCCCATAGATTTGCATTGAGTTCGAAGTTCACAGTCGAACTTTCGTTATATTCGACCGAAACCAAAAAGGGGGGTGTTCAGCCCATCACTAATCCTTATTTGTTACAAATATGTTGTAAGTAAGTAATTGTGTAAGTAAACTGTTTTATTGCTTATCTGCAGCTAATTAATTTCCTAAAAGAGTAGAGGCATTAACTTTGCAAACGGTATTTTGCTTAACAGTTAACACAACTGGATCATTGAAGTGAACACAACTTCACCTCATTCACTAAGTTAATTGAACATTCGCTTTTTAAAGTTAGCATGTTCTATTCCTTTAGTAAACCAACCCATTGGGGTAGATTTATTGATGGAGTATGTTCTTTTTACAAAGTGATTTTTCCTTTAGCTATAGCAGGCTATAGACAAATTGAAATTTAGGCGGTTCAGCAGGAACAACCCAATTTTCAATCCATCTATGGCCAGGCTGGTTATACTGTAGTCAACCCATCGACTGACTTCAGTAAACCAGCCCATCATTTTTTTTTTTTCCCAATCACTGCTGGCGGCTATAGCCTCTAGCAGTGATTATTTTATTCTGATGGCGGGGAAGGTTCCCCATGCTCACTGCTGGCAGAACACAATAGAGCTGCTGGAGGTATTCAGTGAGTGTTGGTGAATCAAGCAATTTTCTTTCCTTCAACCTATGGTTGTAGGAATGAAAATTGCATAAAGTATTATCTGCCTTAAAATATTATTCAAAGCAAATTGAAAATTTACTTTGCAAAGAATACCCAATCGTGTTATTTCCAAAGAATACCCAATCACATGTTACTTCCAAAGAACTCATCATGCAAAAGGAAAAACATGAATTGTTGCTTCTACATAATTGGATTGAAATCAACACAGCTTCACCCTATTCACTAAGCAAAGTAAATACGGTTTTTGAAAAGATTTTTAAACTCAGCAAATTATTAGTAGTTTGTCTAAATCATTATAGAATGAAGAAAATGTTATGCACACACTGTAAGTAACAGAATAAAACGTGCATTATGGAAATGATAATGTTAGCTAGAATTCGCTATTAGTGTAACTGGAAAATGTAAAGCAGAAGGATGTAATACTTACAACAAGTCCAGCTCCTCCAATTCCATGGAAAAACCATACATATGTGGTCAAACGGTTTTTTTCTCTGGCCCATTGTGTTTCTCCATTAGGAAAAAACAATAAAATGTTTGCTATAATGCAAAGGATTGCCAAAGCTATCAGAAAAAAGCCGATACATCTTGCACACTTGGTAAAACACATCTTTGCAGGTGAGATCAGCCTTTATCCTAGCAAGTTCTGCCAGTCAGAGTAGAGTGAATCTTTTGTGCTACCTCTTAAATACCCAGGAGTGGTGTTAGTCACCAGGGTGAGACATAATAATACCAGCAGTGATTGTTTCGTATAGAAGCCGAGAGGGACTTTTTTTCTTTTCGTGAACTGTTCGCCTGCATGTATAAGCAAAGGGTGGGGATAATTAAATTCCTATTAGTATTATTTCTTAGCTCAACTGAATGACGTCACATTTTCCTCAGCTAGATTTCAATGAGATTCATTCTCATGTGATATGTGTTTGCACACTTACTAATACTATTTGCAATTTACTCAGATTACAGGTGACTTGCTTTGTTTCCATGAGCCCATGATAACTACAGTTAATGCCTACTAAAAATTCTAAGCAAAGGTGCCCAGACACCTCTCAAGAGACATATGGGACTGTCATTGCTGAAAATGCTAGGTGAATGGCTGTTCTACTAGACTACTATCTTTACCATTTTTGGAGTAACTAAACAAAAAAAATCAGAATTCCTTATCTACATACTTATTCTGGTTCAGTCTTTCAGGGTATCAAAGCAGTAGGGTTAGCACGACAGTCAGACAAGCAACATTTAAACAAAAAAACAGCACATCATTGGCAGCCTCCAGAATCATGGAGTCAGGCCTGGACTGGGACAAAAAATAAGCCCAGGCATTTTAGACTTTCCCTTGGAGCTGGGTGGCAGAACACCAGGGCCCGGTTGCAAATGCGACCTTTGCGACCCTGGTAGTTCCGACACTGGTGTCAGTAGTTTTTTTTTGTCCCATTTTATTCTATTTATTTATTTACAATTTTATTTTTATTATTTTTTTCAGGAGCCCTGTTGGGGGGATTTGGTGAGATATCAAGGGTCTAAACAGACCCCTTGACATCTCACCTTTGAGACAACGAAAGGAAATTGAGGACACAGCCCTCAATCTCCATCTCTGCAGCTTCAGAAGCACAGAATGAATGGACAGAGCTGTATGAATGTAGAGAGCTTCCTGTTCATTCATAAACAGAAGTAAAGTAAACCCTGTTCACTTTTTTATGAATGGACAAAGTCAGTGATCAGTACCGATCGCTGACTGTCCTTTCATGACATATTTACTGGTGGCCCCTTCCCTGCTCTCCATCCTGACAGATCCCCCACAGCAGCCAGCATGAGAGGGAAGGAGGAACCCAGCTGTGGTGCGGGGGATTGGGGGGCGGAAGAGAGCACATAGGGGCCTGGAGAGAGCACAGGGGGACCAGGAGAGGACAGGAGCCCAGGGGCATCAGAAAAAAGATGGATAGGAGGGGCAACGGGGTGACTTATAGAGGAACTGATCCATCTGTTTCTGTCCTGCAGCTGCTGAATGCCTGCAAGAGGAAGAGGAGGAGCAGTGGCATTCAGCAGTGGCAGGAGGGAAATGGACCAGTTCCTCTATATGCCTCAGCCCCTCCTATCCAGGTGGCCCCAGCCCACTGAGCAAATGCCTGGTGTGCCTTATGGCCAGTCTGGGCCTGCATGTAATTATGTTAAGTTTTATGGTGCTGTGTGCAAACGTTCAAAATAGTGCTCCTTCTTCCAGTGAAAAAGCAAATCTTTCTCATTTCTATGTTATCTTTCACATTAAAGTTGATATCAAAGGCTTCTCATGCATTTGTTACATGTGCATAGATGTTATCATCATTCATTCTGTGTGATAAATAGAGTTTAGTTGGCACATACAGTACATTTCACTAACTGAGGAGCATTAGAGAAACTCCAGTTTCCAGCAATAACGGTATAAGCTGCAGACAAAAAATGACTTAATAGTGCCCTTTTAATTTGCTTATAATATCCTGGTATCATAGAAAGTTAATCCAGGGAGTACAGTGGCTTAGTGGTTAGCACTTCTTCCTGGCAGTACTAAGGTTGTTGGTTCAAATCCCAGCCACGGCACCACCTGCCTGGAGTTTGCATGTTCTCCCTGTGCCTGTGTGGGTTTTCTCCGGGTACTCTGGTTTCCTCCCACACTCCAAAGACATGCAGGTAGGTTAATTGGATCCTGTCTAAATTGTCCCTAGTATGTGTATATATGAATGTGAGTTAGGGACCTTAGATTGTACACCCCTTGAGGGTTAGGGACTGATGTGAATGTACAATATATATATATATGTAAAGTGCTGCGTATATTGACAGCGCTATATAAGTACCTGAAATGAATGAATAAAATCTCCTCCATGAAAGGGCATGTCCCCCAAAGATGTAGCATTGTTGCCCTTGCAGAAGAGCTTTACCGGCAGGGAGGGGACAATTTTATTGAGTACAAATGGACAACAGTAACATTTGGCTAGGATTCTATAGCTGTGTTTGTGGTCCCCTGTTGTTATCTCCTATTCCCTCTCCCATGTGGCAGCAAACCTGGGAAGTGGGAGTTTGTGGGTAGTTTGTATACTGTGAAGAATAAGTGCAAAGATCCAAGTGATTGGGTCAGTAGAATTTTGAAACCTGTAAGAGGCCTAGTAAATGCATTCAGCAGAGTTAAAGTGGTTGTAAAGGCTGAAGAGTTTTTACCTTCATGTGCAGCTCCCCCCACAGCCCCTGCTAATACTCACCTGAGCCCCCTCTCGATCCAGCAATGTGCACAGAAGCCTCAGCTGTGCCGGGTTTCTCTCTCCTCAGTGGCTAAGACATAGCAGCGGAATCCATTGTCTCCCACAGCTGTCAATCACAGCCAGTGAGGAGAGATCAGGGGTGGGGCCGAACCACAGCTCTATGTGTGTTATGGATGGCTCAGGAATGAGCATGCACCAGTGCCTCAATAGTAAGTGGCTTGCTATTGGGTCACTGTTCAAGGGGGAGGAGCCAGGAACACCAGTGGGGGACCCGAGAAGAGGAGGATTGGGGCTGCTCTGTGCAAAACCACTGCACAGAGCATGCAAGTATAACATGTTTGTTATTTAAAAAGGAAAAAAAATCAAACATTTAATATCACTTTAAAAACGGAACTTCACTCTCTCAATCACATTACCTATTTCTAATCCTTATACTGTGCTAGCATTAGTAAATACAGTGCTGCGAAAAAAGGATTTGCCCTCTTACTGATTTTATTTTTTTTATGTATATATTTGTGCGTATTTGTGTAGCACTCATGAGGACTGTTATGTTGTGGGTATCCCCAAGCTTCCCTCGACACAGCCGGTCAACTGTTATTTTCACACAGACTTGCATTCAGAGACAATTACCAGTCCATGAACTTGGTTTTTCTGTTGTATTTAGGGAAATTCAACTTGGATAGGGAAATAGGGATTATGGGATGTCCATCTTGACTTGAATAATGGAAGAGAGACACTTCCTTCCTATATATAAAGCAGATCCTAGATTGTTCTTTTCCTGAAAGCCGTCAGTCATTGTGGATCAGTAGAAGCTGCCCCTTATGAGCGAAGGAACTAGCAGCCCCTCAAAAATTGCTTTGCTTTCTGTAGCAACATAGAGAGATGTCTTCTCTCCCCCTATGAAGCTGCTCCAGCTCCCTGGCCTGCAGACACCACCAGCCCTCCTGGCTTCTCAGAAGATTTCCCGGATCAAGCATAAAAGGATTTAGCTTAATGCTGTCCTTGGAAAGCTTGCTACGTGTGGTAATCTTTCCCCTTTCAGATCCCAAAGTGTTCTGCTGCATACTCACATTGTCCTCTTTGCTTACAGCTGCTCAAGGCCTGATCCCATCCCCGCCTCTCTACAGAATCTATCCTCCTGAGCCAGCCCGAGCCCAGCCTAGAGGCCCTCCCCAAACCTGGGATTGGTCAGACCCCCTATGCATATGCAGATTACGCCTCTGACCCCCCTTCTATGATCCTCCAGTGTCAGAGTCAGAAGAAGGCGATATAGATACAACCTGTAGAGTCATCCAGCAGACCTGCAAAAACCCAACCATTATCACATGACCCACACAACTACCATGAGTCACACAATAATTTTACCTATCATTCACTACACTATTCTAGTAGCACACTAGAGGGTGCTACACTTTTCACACTTAAATGATTCAGGTCAATAACCCCTTCACGCCTAAGGCTAAAACAAATCCTGAGCTCAGTTTTGCAACTTTGACATGTTTTACTACTTTGTACATCTAGGTGAACTATACCTTGTTTTTTTTCAGGACAAATTGGGCTTTCATTTGATGGTAAATAGTCATGGGTATCTCCTGATTTTATTTATTATTATCAAAGGAAAGCTGGCCCAAAAAAGTAAAAAAAAAATATTTATTTTTTCAAATTTAGCTGTATATTTCTTGTTACTACCTTAACCTACCACCAAAGAACAATCTGAGTTAAATTCTCTCCTGCTCCTAGCGAATGCAGCGATGCCACATATGTGTATTTTATTTGTTGTTTGTACCCGTAATACAACCGAAAAGCTCATTTTGATTTTTTTTGTCCTACCTAAAACACACTGACACTGTCAGTGATACTAATTTAAAAAAAAATCCTGTCCAAAATATACTTACCCTGACCTTGACCCATACACTAACCTTGGCACTGACCTACAACGGCATTGATCTAGGTATTTTTTCTTTGAAGTTCTTTAGATCGTGGCATGATGTGTTGCTTTTTTAGATCTTTTAGCATGCTTCACTTTGTCAGACAGCTTTTATTTAAGTGATTTCTTGATTCAACAGGTCTGGCAAATCAGGCCTGGGTGTGGCAAGTTAAATGTAACTCAGCTTTCCAAAAATGTGGTTTAATCACAGTTCATTCATGATTTAGCAAAGGGGAGCGGGGGAGCAATTACTTTTTCACATACAGCCAGGCAGTTTTGGACAGCTTTTTTCCCTTAATAAATGAAATCATCAATTAAAAACTGCATTTTGTATTTACTCTGGTTATCTTTGTGTACTAATAAAATTTGTTTGATGATATGAATCATTTAAGTGTGACAAATATGCAAGAAAAAAACAACACTTTTTCACAGCACTTTAGACAGGGAAAGTATATT